GCTTGGGGTCAGGAATACTTATATTACATCTACTTTAACCAGCAGTGCTCATTTGGAAGTATATATTCTAGTGAGATAGTAGTGTTATTACTTTCTTTTCACTTGTTTGTTGGTGATCAGTCTGTGAATTTGGTTAGAGCACTAAGGTAACAGGATTATGGGCCCAGTTCTTTTGTGTATGAGTTTTCTTACCACTCATTGTCTTCCTGATTGAGCTTCCACTAAGCTCCTTAGTGTTCCTCACAGACTCAAGAGAAACTTCAGGGCTTTTGTAATTTCTGTCTCATCTGCCTGGAAGGTTCTGTCACCAGATATTCACAATGGCTCCACCTCATGCTGATGTTGGTTCAAGTATCACCTCCTCCAAGAGGCCTTCTCTGACCACTCTTACCTATTTTTTTTCATAGTACTTATAGCTACCTGACATTATCATCTTATTTGTTTCTTTGTTTCCATAAGTTATATTATATTTTATATCATATATTTTTCTTTGCCTGTCTTAACCTACCACCCTCCCATATAAGTTCTGGGAGAGTAGAGATTTTTCTATTGTGTTCAGTGTTATAAACTTAGAAAAACTTTTTGCCTGGCACAAAGCAAGCACTCAAAAATAGGTGTTGAATCAATATATGAATATAACTTAACATTGCCCTGTTTTTTCATCACTAGTTATACCGTTAATTCTAGCCAGTTGGCTCATAATGTCTATACTTGGGTTTGAGGGCCTTGCCTGAAGAGTGTGGATCTAAACACATAGCATAGATCTGGATGAGAATCCACTAGAAGCTAAGAATACCATATCTTCATCCTGTATTGAAGACTGACATGCAGCCAGCATGTGCTGGATGGATTATATTTGTTTTTTATGTCTGATATCCACTTTGGTTGGCCAGTACCTATGCTGTCCTGGCTGTTAAATATTTTTAATATTACTTTTGCCTGTATCCCCAACATTCCTAGTATATCCAGCACATGCTTTGAAATATTTGTTGAATAAATCAATAAATACATCCTCATACAAGAAGTACTACCATATCTTTCTACTGGTGTGTTGGTATATCTTAAAGGTCAACATAATTTTATTTACTGGTCTTTGTACAAACCAAATATTACTTATTTCTAATAAAACTTGAACACTGAAGTTGTTTAGTGACTGCAGTCTATCCTGCACATAAATGAATGTTTTGGCTTCCTTTCACAACTCAGCATGTGGAATTTCAGTTTGGAGGAAAGAAAAGGTCAGTAGCCTTGCCATGGTACCTGTGGTCTGTAGCAAGTAATTAATTTTCATTATATATTCATACAGGTATACATTCCAAACAGTTTGTTACCTAGGAAAGATACAGTAAATTCAAAAAATTACAAGGTTTCTTTGTACTCAAAAGAGTTTTCTACTAAATGTTCCCATGCCTCTTTATCTATCTTGATTGGCTGGAAGAAGTCCATTTCATTTGATGGTGAAAAATTAATCCTTGCCTTATATATTTTGAAGTGAATCTCACTACATGCATTTTCTCTGATTTTCAAGTCCCCTCAGGAAACTGGCTTAACTTAAAGAATATAAAATAGACCCCTTGGTCTTCAAAATGAGAACTTCTATGTCTTTTGTTACATATGGTCCATATAATTTCACAAAAGTAATTGAACCAAGGGAATTAAACATATTTTCAATATAGCTTCTACTATTCACCATATTCAAATTATTTGGGGGGCAGAAGTAGGTCAAATTTTCTATAAAACTGATAAACACCTTTAATTGGGACGGGTATGTTAAACCAAACTCCAAGTCCTTTGACAAGGAAATCTCAAAAATGTCACAAAGTACAGGTCTTTAAACATACCATACCATACTTTATTCAGAACCACTAGCCTTTGAGTTGGAATTGTTTCCAATAATTGCAAGAGAAAATCATCAGGGAGCACTGGCCTTAATCCAAAGAAAAGGGTAGGAACAAATTAAATGCTTAAAAGTTTAAGGATAAATTAGAAAGTAGGTGTTAGAAATCCCTTTAGCTTCAACTAAAAGTGGATGAATAATCTTTTTATTTTTTTAGACAGAGTTTCACTCTGTTCAGCCTAGCTCTGTTCACAGCAACCTCAAACTCCTGGCCTCAAGCAATCCTGCCTCAGCCTCTTGAGTAGCTGGGACTACAGGCACGCGCCACCATGCCTGTCTAATTTTTTCCATATATTTTTAGTTGTCCAGCTGATTTCTTTCTATTTTTAGTAGAGATGGGGTCTCGCTCTTGCTCAGAGCTAGTCTCAAACTCCTGACTTCAAGGGATCCTCCCTCCTCAGCCTCCCAGAGTGCTAGGATTACAGGTGTGAGCCGCTGCGCCTGGCCATGAATAATCTTTAAATAAGCTATCTGGCTAGCTTCTCTGTCCTTGGTCACTAATTCACATACTATACATGAGTTTTACACATACTAATTATCCCCTTTCAGTCTGCCTAGGGACACAAAGAAAGATATGACATGGCTTATGAGCAGATTCCTTTTTTTTTTTTTTTTTTTTTTTTGCCTTTTGGTAGATTTGGTCAATGTTGAAAAATACAGTGAGAAAACAAGAGGTTTTTTTCCAGCTTTTGGCCTCAGCACTATTCTCTCGTAACATTCTCTCTCATTAGTCACCTTATTCACACTCACGACGTCACTGTTGCCTCTGTGTATACATGACTTTGCAGTCTTTCTCCAGCTGTAGTGTTCCTCCAGAAGTTCAAACATCCTGTGGTTAACATCACTATCTGGATTGCCCATCAGTCCCTGGAACCCAGCATCCCCAAAGCTGAATTCATTATATTCCTCCCATCTCCTCAAGCTACCTCAACTCACACGTTCAACCAGTCATCATTCAATGAAACACATCCAGCACCAACTATTTGTAGCAAGTGCTGGAATAAACGAAGAATTCCCTAACTCTATGAATGGTTTCACTATTGTTTAAGTTACTCAGGCTCAAAACCTTAACCATGGCCAGATGTGGTGGCTCACGCCTATAATCCTAGCACTCTGGGAGGCCGAGGAGGGAGAATCGCTTGAGCTCAGGAGTTCAAGACCAGTCTGAGCAAGAGTGAGACCCAGTCTCTACTAAAAAATAGAAAGAAATTTGGCCAGGCAACTAAAAATATAAAAAATTAGCTGGGCGTAATGGCATACACCTGTAGTCCCAGCTACTCGGGAGGCTGAGGCAGGATGATCGCTTGAGACCAGGAGTTTGAGGTTGCTGTGAGCTAGGCTGACGCCACGGCACTCACTCTAGCCTGGGTAACAGAGTGAGACTCTGTCTCAAAAAAAAACCTAACCATTTTGGAGTCCTCCCTTTCCCTCATTTTTTCTTATGCCCTCCCCAGCACACCTATACACATACATGAATGTGTGTACACACAAACACACAGAACTTGTTGCTAAGTCCCGAGATGCTATTTATGCAATTTCTCCTTGAAGAATCTCCTTTATCAGCCCAACCAATTTTAATCCATTTCTTTAAGTCATTTCTTTTAAAACAAAAGCTTCTTTTTTCCCAGATGACAAGCATCACACATGTTTATTGTAAAAAATATGGAAAATACAGAAATCATAAAGGAGAAAATAAAAATTCTCCATCAGCTCCCTATACTGTTAACATGTTGCTGTATATCTTTCCAGACCTTTCTCTCCAGACATGAACACATGTGCACACATGCACACAAACACACACTTCAGATCATGCTATTTATACTGTTCAGTAGCCTGATATTTTTCACTCAATGCATCATGAATATTTCCCACACTATTGCAGTCTTCTACAACATTATTTTTTTTTAAGACAGAGTCTCACTCTTTTGCCGGCCTAGAGTGCAGTGGCATCATCACATCTCACTGCAGCCTCACACTCCTGGGCTCAAGTGATCTTCCTGCCTCAGTTTCCCAATTAGCTAGGACTACAGGCATGCACCACCATGACTGGCTGATTTTTCTATTTTTTTTTTCTTTTTTTGTAGAGACAGGGTCTTGCTCTTGCTCAGACTGGTCTTAAATTCCTGGACTCAAGCAACTCTTCATGTCTCGGCTTCCCAGAGTGCTCAGATTACAGGCTTGAGCCATCGCACCAACCCTGCAACATGATTTTTAATAGCCACATAATCTTGTATTATTTACTATCTCATGAGTTATTTGATGAAACCCCTCTTGATGAATATTTAGATTGGTCATAACTTTCTCATATTTTCAAATGTTATAGTGGACAGCCTTGTAGTTTGGTAACATTCATAGTTAATTCATAGAAGTTGAATTTTTGGCTCAAAGGGTAAGCTAGATTTTTAATTTGCCCTCCAAAAAGGTCACTGTATTTTACTCTCATCAAGAATATATGAGAATACCCATTTGCCTGTGAACTGACCAATACTGAGTACTTTCAAATCTTCTGATAGTAATTTGAACCTGTCTTATGTCAATTATCCTGCATAATATTATTTTATACTTGTGTTTACCAAATCCCACCTTAGTAGGCATATAGGTTTTAACCCACAGCAGCTATCATAGGGCCTTATGCATAGTAGGCATTCAAGAAATATTTGTGAACTGGATTGAATCAGAGCCATAGAGAAGGTCTTCCATATTTTCATGATAGCCCATCCACCATTACCCTGCAGTAGTTTCCACATGCAAACTAGAGTTACATGATTAAGGGAAATGGAAGAGAAGGGGTTACAGAACTGAGGAACTAAGTCCAATCCCACTATAATTGGTTAACTATTAGTAATACTCCAACTTCTAATCCTGTCCCTGGGATGGCTTTAGTCTTACTTTTAACAACAGCTACTGTTTAGCAAATGTTAGTACTTGTATGTATGTTATAGCATAGAAGTGACTACCAGCATGATGTAGGTGAAAACCCCTAGCTCCTTGGCCTAACTAACAGAAGACTGGTCAGAACATTTTTAGGTGCAAAGGGATAGATGATTTTGAGACTTTCTCAGTGAGTCTGGAATAAGTTAATGTATGACTTGTTTTCTTGCAGCAGTACATTTGTTCGGCCTGACTTGGCAGTTGCAACCAGTTGAAGGAGAGCTCTATGCAAATGGAGTTAGCAAAGGGAACAGAGGGACCGAGTCCATGGATACTACTTACTCTCCAATTGGAGGAAAAGTTTCCGATAAATCAGAAAAAAAAGGTACAGTGATCAAAATGATTGACTGATTATTGATTACTTTTCTTCTAATTTGGTCATTAGGACCATATCTGGGATGGTTTCACTTCACATTAAATTTCACGATCACTTGAAAAAAGTACTCTGCATGGACAGAATAAATACATGTAAATGTCTTTTGAAAGCAATCTTTTCTTTTCTCCAGTGCCTTGAGTATAAACCAATTAAACTTTTCAAATATGTTGGCAATTTTGAAAATAGATAAATATTTGCAGAATGGAGGCTTCAATACAATGGAAATTGCATTTCACATATAACTACCCTAAAGCAATGTGTGATTTTGATTAAGTTCTCTATGTCCAAGCCCAGCATATATATAAAACATTTTACGAAAGATATTTGGAAATTTTTTTTCTGTTTATAATAAGAAAACCTTTTCTGCTTAGTGTAAAGGTGACTGTTTATGTCAAAGTGGGATAACATGAATTTTTGTCTAGTTGCGGAACATGAATTCTTCCTAGTTGGGGGAAAGAAAAAAATCACTTTGAGTCCTGACTTGTTAAATTTAATCAACATGAGCTTGAATTACCTGACTTACTTACAATAAATGTCAGAGTGCCAGCACTCCCAATATCATATTCACATTGAATCATCTTAGTTTTAGTCTTAATATACAGGCATTGAAAATAGCTGGAAGTTTGTATTTTGATTTTTCTTGGAATTGGATTCAGTACAGAGAAACTTGACCATGTCAAATTTTAGCAAGTCAATTCAGAAAGTGGAAATTGAGAATAAAATGTATAGCCAGCACTATCCTGAGTATTTTTATAAGATAAAAAATGAAAAAAATGAATGAATAAATGACCCAAACCCTGCCCTTAGGAAGCTCACAATTTTATAGTGGTGGTAAGACAGTTTTATTTTGACTCATTAATTACAAATATATATTTTGTTTTATATAGTAGTTCTTTGGGTTACTACTCTTCTCATTGTGTTTTTAATTGATTTGTAGGGGTTGTTTGTGGACTTGGTTTGGTTTGGCTCAGTTTTTATTTGCTTTTGTAAAAATAACTTTGCTTTATCCCATCCTTCAGTAAAAAGTAATACTTAGGGTTCAGGAAAATATTGTGATTTATTCTAGTTTTCAATTCACAATGCAGTTTGCTTTATATCCTCATTTGAAAATACTTGTCCCTAGCCTAGATCAACCTATCCCAGCAGTTTCAGTGTTACTGCTGAGAGGAACTGAGGGGAGTACAGGGGCCAGAGGTGGCAGAGGAAAGGGTCTGCCACCCTTTGCTCTCAGACTTTTCTTCCTTATCTCTCTTATCTTCCTTTTCTTCCTTAGCTTCTCTCCTACTATTTATTAATTCCTTTATATTTGAAGGTATAAGAGTCACTATTTGGTATTATCTGCCTAGGATTTCTTGCCATTTGCACTGAAAATCAAAATTATCTGTCTGAAGAAAATGAAATGTGCAAGACAGCAGAAGGTCATCATATAGTTGTCATCAGAGTATATTAATTTTATATTCTAATTCAGATCTCTTGTGTTTCCTTTCTGTAAAGTAGGTTGATGATGATGGCTAAATTTATTAAACAATTACCATGTGCCAAGAATTGTCCCAGGCACTTTCCATGAATTATATCATGAAGGTAATATTATAGTTGCCATTTTCCAAATGAGAAACAGAGGCACAGAGAGGTTAAGAAACTTTCCCAAGGTCACAGAGTTAGAAACCGATGGCCTGATTCCAGAGCCTAGTTGCTTAACTTTTACACTGCACTGACATCCACACATGAAATGTCTTTGAAGACCATAAAAGACATTTTACACAATGAAAGCAAAGCTCCAGAGTCTACTCATGACAGATTTTAGAGAAATTCTATTCACCTATATTTTTAATGATTTGTGACAACTTTCATAAATTAAAAATGTTTTAAGTTTCTGCTTAATTATAATAACAAACAGAGGAAACCAATTTTAATTTAATACTTTATTAAGAAAAATTATTATGGGTTGATTCTTCATATACCAAGTTGTTAGCTTAAACTGACTTTTTATGAAGGCCTGAACGAAACCTTAACTATCACTGCACATCATAGTTCTGCTATATTAGGTCTTCACTGCATATTACTTACCAAATAAAAACATAGCTCATCTTTTATAATGCCATATGTTTACTAAAGCAAACCTTGCAGAAGGTGTAATACAGTATGAGGAAATTTTCAAATGGTCAGCCATATCCTTTTATGATTTCCTAGATGACATGAACCCCATAAATATAGTTCTAAAAGCCTATCTTGTTGTTGTATGCACTAAAGTATTAAACTGACCACCAGACCATTCTTTCTACATTGTTTTCTTTACTGTCCTAGAAGATTGGGTATTATAGCACTGTGGTTAAGAGCCTGAACTCTAAAATCAGACAGACCTGGCTTCGAATACTGACTGTGTCATTTATTGGCTCTCTGACCTCAAGTAATTGACACAACCTTGCTGAACCAGTGTCCCCATCTGTAACATAAGGATGATAATAATAGTACCTGTCTCATACAGTTGTAGCGAGGAATGAATGAGAAAATGGATGTAAAGCATATAGCACAGTTTCTGTTATGTTTAACTTAGCAGTATTTATCATTGGGCCAAAAGATTGAAAAATTGCCTTTTTTGTTTTTTTTTAATTTATTATTTTGTTTGTTTATTTATTTATTTATTTGAGACAGGATCTCCCTCTAACACCTGGGACAGAGTGCAGTGGTATCATCATAACTCACTGCAACCTCAAACTTCTGGGCTCAAGCGATCCTCTTGCATCAGCCTCCCACATAGTTTGGGACTACAGGCATGCACCACCATGCCTAGCTCATTTTTTTTCTTTATTCTTTGTAGAGTTGGAGTCTTGCTATGTTGCCCAGGCTGGTCTCAAACTGCTGGCCTCAAGCGATCCTCCCGCCTCAGTCGCCCAACCTAATAGGATTGCAGGCATAAACTTCCATGCCCAGCCCCCTGAGTTCTTTTGAACTTCATTGACATTCTATTATATTAGGTACTACAGATCCTGCTTTCAAACTAGTATCAACTTTTCTGTAAATGATGACTTTGTTGGGATTTAAATGTTTTATCTCTCCAAAATTTGGTCTCTCTTTACTTACCAGTTTAGCGTCTATTATTTTCAAATTATCATTACCATCATCAGATGATGATGGATAAATAGAATGGCACTGTTGAAAAATCAAATTCTACTGAAATTGGTTTCCCATTAATCGTCATCATATGTATGTATCTGCTTCTCATTAGGAGATTAAAGAATTTTCTCACCACTTAGTTATCCAAATGGAAGAAAAATGAGTACTTGATTATAGACCTTTAATATGCTAAAATTTTTAAGAACACTCTAGAATTTTGAAAAGAAGGCATAAATCTGAACCACATGTTGGAATCTACCAGAAAAATCTAAGTTGTCATTGTTTAATAAACACAGAATTTGAAGGCATTATACCAAAATAGCCCCTAACTACCTTAGAAGCTTACGAACTAGTCATAATTCTTTCTATTTAACCAGTAAACATTATGTAACTACTACTTTAAACAAAGCAGGGGATATGAACAAATAAAATACTCCTAGACCAGAGTCATGTAGCATCCACAAATAAAATTAAAATTAACTACAAGGTAATTTATCAATAAATATAGAATGTTAAAATCTTAAAGATTATCAAATCCAACATCCTTATTTAGAGATGATAAAATGAGATTCAGAAGGGTCAAGATCACACAGAGAACCGGGACTAGAACAGAGGATACCTGGTTCCACATTTTATATTTTTTCACCCATTATTGTAATAATAATGTAACACAAACTAAATATACAAATTGCTGAATAGGTTTTCAATAAGGAAGTGTCAAAGACAAAAACTTAACAAGTAAGAAAATTGATTTTATTCAGGCTACTACAATAGGGAGATTTTGCCTTAGTCTTTTATAGGGAAGAGTAGATAAATTAAATGTGGGATAATTTGCAGGTGAGATTGTACTGCATAAGAGAAGTCTCAGCCAGTTGAATAGGAAATCTTTTTCTCTGTGTCTAGCTACTTTCAGGGGAACAAATAGTTCTAATGTCAGCTAATTATTTATGAGACAAAGAATGGGAAATCGGAGGGTCCGTATCTGGTCTTTTGCCAGGTTCAGGTAACAGGGGAAAGGTCTGGGTTTGGACTTATCATGGGTAAACAAGGGAGTCACAGGCGAGTCTCATGTGGAAGAATGGACAAAGAGCTTTATCTAATAAATCACATAAGAAAGAGTGGTGTGTGTGTGTGTATGTGTGTGTGTGTGTGTGCGTGTGTGTGTGTGTGTGTGTCTGTGTGTGTGTGTCTGTGTGTGTGTGTTTGGTTTTTGTTTGGTTGCAGTAAGCCATTTCCCAGAAAGCAAAAGGATGGGAGAATTTTAGAAAACAAAAGGTTGGGAGAATTTCTTAACCAACATTTTTTTCTAGGAGCATAGGGCTCAGGTAAAGTCAACATTGTCTGTAGCAATCTGGATGAAATTTATTGGGTAGTTGAGGGTACTGAATTCCTGCAGGTTGGATGCCAAAATAGAACACCAGGAACAAAGAAAGATGGGTGGGGAGAGAAAGAACTAAAGGATACTAAAGGCAGCCTTTATCTTCTTTACAATTTTGCAAAAGGCTGGCCTTGGGGGAAAGTGGCATTTCTTTTAAATTTATCCTACAAGATCTATCTCCACAAAGTTGGGGAAAAAATGACATTTTTCTAGTCAGTGTCTGCTGAATATATGACCGTGTAAACAACATACAGCTGATTGATATGACAAAATTTATAGCCTGTCGTGAAGATGCTTTAACCAAGACCAAATAGTGACTATAGCTTCACCTCTCTGGGCTCCAGTTTCTCATCTGAAAAATAAGGGAGTTGGCTTTTTAATCCTTTCAGGGGCAGGGAGGGGAGGCTAGTGGGTAGTGAAACCCTTTTTGCAAATTAAATCTTACCCAAAAATTACA